ACATGTTATTGATAGAACCGGTTCGTTGAGTGACCCTGCTTGTGGGGATTATACACCAGCAAACAATGACCCTGCTTGTGGGGATTATACACCAGCAAACAGTGCGCCTGCTAGTGGGTGTTTGACGTTGGCCGTGACCTATAGAGGAGACGTCTATTTCGTTCCCGTATTGTATCCGTTTTTTGTGATTGCACATGTTGGCATGCTATAAGTTTAATTAAGGGCAATCCATATTTACTTACTGAGTTTATCTCATAGTTTTCCTTGTCCACCATTTCAGGAAGTGAAACCGAGGACGGGGAAACCATGGGAAGTGACGAGTTAGAAAGCTAGCCATTTCGAGATTGAGCATAGATTTAGAAATAAATCATGATCTTGTATTTGGAGATTTTATTGGAGATTTATGATATCAGAGAGATTTTATAATTTGATCTTTAGATTTTGGTGGTATCAGATTGTGATATGATAAGTTCCGAGCCTTGTGCATTTGTGGGACTCTCTCACGAGTACACGGCGTCTATCGCGCCTTGGATTTGGGTTCTGGGGCGTGACAGCAAAAGTCCACATGTCACATGTTAAACATATTCTTCTAGAAACTTTTTTCAACAACTGCTTAATTCTATCTCTCTCCCTCTAATAAATTTTCAAGCAACAATTTTTCACAGTATTTCTACAAATTAGCTTCACATCCTCATTTAGGTACTTCATTAATGATCTAATAACCTTATGCTCAACCCATGAAAAAGGATATGAATGCTTTATTACTACTAGTGCACACAACTCCTTAAAAGTTTCTTGATCAATTTTTCTAACCAATTTTCCAGAGTTACTTAACATCATTTGCACTGGATTTCTATTCACACATGCAAAACATTTTGACGGATGCCTTTTCATATTAGAAGTTCCATACTTTCCTTCACAAATGTAGGTAGCACCACAATGTTTACATTTACCTCTTTCCAAACCATCATCATTCAAATGTGCTTCAATCAATTGAAAATCATCCCAAACTTTAGATTTTTTCTTCTTCTTTGAAAATGGGGCACCTTCATTTTTCTCAGGATCAGAAGACATAGCTCTGTTATTTTCATTGTCCTCACCATCCACTACAAAAATAATTTAAAGCAATTATTAGAAAATTAGATTACATCCAAAATAAAAATTTAAATCAATTAATTTTACTTAAATTTCTTGGAATTAAGCATTACCATGAATAAGATCCATGACTGTTTCTGTTTCTGGTTGTGATGGTGGTGGTGTGCCTTGTTTTGTTGTTGGTATTTGAGTGGATTGCCATTACCCTTACTTTGCTTCCTTTTCATTTTCCACAAAATATGCAAGTACTAAAAAAAATAAACAAAGGGTTAATTTGAACCACAAAACAAATAAAAACTAATAATCTCAATTCATAAAATAAAAGAAAGATGAGACATAAAAAACTACAAATATAACCAATAACATAAGCAAGTGAAATAGAATCAAATAAAAATGGATGGAAACCCAATAAAATATAATCACATTTTTAGATAAAAATAGAATAGAGTTTCCAAAAAAACAAAGTGAAATAAAATCAAGTGAAATAGGGACTTGGGTATTGATAATGTAATCTCAACAGTCTGATCGTGAACTTGTTACCCCATGGTTCAAGTTTCTTTGGGAAACCTATAGAACAGTGCTCAAAATATTGTGGAACAATTCAAAGTTAAAGGCTCTTTATGCGGTATTTCTTGCAATTTGATCATTTTTATGAATTTCTAATACTTGTCACAGTGTTCAAGTGATATGATCTTAGTTTTAAGGTTAAAACCCCTTTTTGGTCCCTGAACTATTGTACGGATCCTCGATTTGGTTCCTAAACTAAAAAAATCTTTGATTTAGTCCCTACTGTTTACCATTTTTACCCCGATTTGGTCCTTCCGTCAAATATCAACCTACGTGTCCCGTTACTTGACGGGGAAAACGATGACCTGTTAAAACATTTTGACACCTAGGATGTACAGTGTGAAAAAAATGAGATGGCAAGAAAAAAATCTTAAAAAATTTCTTATTCTTTTTTTTTTTCTTCGTTTGTTTTTCCTTTTTCCCTTTCTTCTTCCTCTCCCTTTCCTTTAACCTTCTGCAAACCCTAATTCCTAATATTAAATTCAAGGATAACACAACAAATC